AGGGAAATTCGTGCATTAAAATGCATATCCATAATATACGTTACACTTAGACCCAAATAGTATAATGCCAACCGGAAGTTTAAAATTCTGGTATTAGATCTGTTTAGACTACTCAAGACCAGATTTTATAAATTTTTGTCATCAATATATTTTATTACTAGAAATAGATCCTCAATGAGTTTCTTAAGACAACTCACATATTGACCGATATGCAACAGTATATTTAGTGTATGGAATCTTGACCCGATTTAACTTCATTTTAGCATCATAATACATCATTACCAGTAAAAGGCGTTATCTAAGTTTTATTGTTATATCTAACAGGTTGTCCTATATATTCATAGGCCATAGGCACTGAGTATCTGTAAGTTATGATCCGATTTTGACCATTTGTTGACCTGATAATTCATAGATTCATATCTACTACTATCTTACTAAGATTATCGTTTGCTCAGACAGAATGAAATTCAACAGGTCACGGGAATGTTTATTATCATTCGAAAAAACATTCTCTGGCAAATTCAAATTTTAGYGGCAGCTACGATGGTTCAATGATTGAGTCCAATTTCGATGATTCGTTCGAGCATTTCGATCGATACCGTAATTGCAAATGACACGGGTGATATTTTGCTCAAAGACCTGAATTGAAGAGTTATATTCCACACAGACTTTAGACTTTACATAGCCCCACAGGAAAAGTTTCACATTGTGATATCACATGATTTTGGTGACCAATCGGCCGGCCCAAAAGGTGAAATTATTTGCTCCCCCGAAGTGTTTTCTCATTAAATCCATTGAATGATGTGATGTGTCAATGTGTTTTTACGTGAATACCTGTCTATGAAGACTAAACTCCACGGTGCTTTCTATTGCTAGAAGCACATAGATCAATACAATGCGTTGATCAGCGCCCCAAAGCATAAATGCATTTTGCACTTAATTTTTGGTTTCAATTGGTTCGGGTGGATAGGGACACCCTATTCACCTTGGTCGGGTTCGAGGCCAATCTAAAACCTCTGCCGTACTTTGGGTCCGGCACCCGGCCGCAGTGCGACTCCACATTGGACAAAATGCCCTTCCTGCATTTAGGTTTAAACCACAGCCACGACGAATCTCCACAAAGGGCCAAACCCAATGAGCAGATTGGAGTTACCTCCAAGGGCTTACTGCTCCCCATGGTACCAGGTTTAAGTCTTTGGTCTGACTTTGTAGCTTTTGCTACTACCAGTTGAGTCCCCAAAAACTCAATGACTGGTTGCATTTGTCGCTGTGACAAATGCCTTATATTTTGAGATATAAATATAAAGCTACAAATTTGACTTCCAGCAGAATATTATAGCACTTATCTGACTAAAAGTATGTATATACTATAATATGATATGCCCACATTGTACACGGGTACTTTTGTTGTTTGATTTTATGTTTCCCTGTAAGGCAAAAATGAAGGATAACTGGGTTAAAAAATTAACGTTCACAAATCTGTGCTACACCTTTTGTCATGTTCAACGGAGTATAGCTTAACTATGATATAAATACATACGTCTTTATATATAAAAATACTTGTCAAGTTGTTTATCCGCTATAGACTCCTAAACTGCTAACCTGATTTTAGTAAAATTTAGCACACTGTGTCCAGTGCAAACCAACTTCAAAGATACTATAGTGAAAACAATTCATAAATAAAATAAAAAAAATAAAAAAAATAAAATAATACAGTGAAAGTTCTATTAAAGCGGACAACTCTATTAACTGGACAGAAAGGCCGAAGAAATCAGCTTTAAATGCGTTATCTTTCTAAATAAACCTATTTGAATTAACATATTCAAAATTAAACCCTAAGTACAATCCCTTGGATTCTTATACCGACAAACACGTTTTCGCCTTTATTCGCAAATAAAGTGTTCACTGTATTGCGTAGTTGTATACCACAGTATGAGTTTGACCTGGATAGGAGAATGACATAATATTTATTTTTTATCTATATGTAAATATACATACACATATATACGTACTTATGTATATATAAATTTCATGTCACTTTTTGTCGGGGTTTGATCGAACTTCAAACTTTATATCTCAATTAAGTTAAAAGTCAAAACAATTCATAAATAAAACAATAAAAATTCTTAACTTCGGCTGTTGTAATATTCTTAATAAGTTCATGTTTTAAAGCATAAAGGAATAAAAAAGAAAATTATTTAGATTTTGATCAGCTCAATCTTTTCTTTATTGGCGTAGGCACCGCTTACGTGGTTATAGCCGAAACTCAGACTCAGCTTCTTACTTTTAAAGGTCTTTGATGTTTCCTTTTTGGTGTTAAAAACTTAGTGGCAACCTTAATAGACCCTATTCAGGTTATAAAAATATGTCCAAAAATACATACATACATATCTAAACCTAAGGAATAAAAAAATATTATTAGTATAATTTTTATTAATTACGCCAAATGGAAAATTCATTATTTTTTCTATTACCAAATATTTGTTTCAATCGTTTCCAAAATTAAATCGAATACACTCCCACATTTCGCCTTTGTTCGCAAACAATGTTTCTACTGTATTGAATACTTTATTATATAAGTTGTTAATGTATACCATAGCCACAGCAACGCGTGACTGGACTATACTACTACTCGTATACATACATATATGTATATTTGTAAATAACACATCAATCAAAGCTTATAGCTTATTAATATCATTACGTTAACATCTAACTGAAATAAATTCACATAAACAATACAAATATTTGTACGTAGTACGTACATTAAATAATAACGATTTAACCTAATTTATTAAAATCTTATACCATGTTCAGACCGACACTTAATCACACGATTTCGGTTGTTGAGTGGTTTATACCACTAATCTTATTAATTTATCAAGATTTTGCCATACAAAAATGACAGTTCAAAATCACTTCATCGAAATTATTTGAAACTAATCTACGCTAAATCGCTCTGTGCGACTCTGATTATGTGCCATCTACTTTTCAGCATTGAAAATCTATTACATTATCACAGCTGATTTAGGCACTACAAATGGGGAAAAAATGTAAACAAACAATTTTTTTAAAGCAATGAGTCTAATTACAACTGAAAATCGACTTAACAAATGAAAAAAAGCGTCCATTATTTCTATTATATGGAAAATATTTAAAAAATGACCGATTTTATTTCAAAATACTATATGACAATCTTTTCTTTTGATAAATATTAAGCGATGTGAATTCTTGAATGACAATAACAGCTGTTTTGTTGATCTTTCTAACGGCAGTGAGAACACTGTTAGGTTATGAAATGTTTAAATGTAATCTAATCTTTTAAATTTTCGGTCTGAACATGGTATTAGAGCTGTTAATTAATTTCAGATACATTAAGTGCTACCAAACTTTTAATATGTCTTGCTTATTTTTTATACTCTCACTACAGGGTATGACAGATTTGTTCACCTAATGATTGTTTGTAGCACCTAAAACCAATGAGATAGAGAGATATATATTTACAAATAAAGGATCTAGCTGACGAGACGAGTTGAAATTTGTGTGATTGGCTGTCTGTTCGTCCACTTGCCCGTCCATGCAACTGGAGTAAAAATTAAGATATCTTGATGAATCTTGGTATTAATTAGTACCATAATAAGTTCGTTATTCTAGATGAAAATACGGACTACTTCCACGATCACAAAACGCTGTTAATTGAATTGAAAACTTATACAAGTATATTCTCATAACTAAGTCGAATGTTAAGAGACAAACTTTCAAATCGACACAAAAAACAATATTAGATAGAGGCATCTATGATTTCAAAATCTTATAAATGCGGATGTTTCAACCAACTTTTCACAGAAATCGTTTTGTCTCCGCTTGAGACAGTATGAAAATTGGATAAAATCGGATGATGAACCCACCCGCTCTCTACATAACGGTAAGTTGAAAACTACTAAAATTACTACTGTAAATAACTACGATGGAAGCATTACAATTCACAGTTAAGATATTCCGCGAAAGCTTTATTCGATTTGGTACCGCCGTTATTTATGTCAAATTTCATGTCTCAGGACCTACTTGACCAATTTTTGCACATAAAATTTTACTGATATTCCTATATTATGGTGTGAAAATTAACGAAATCGGGTAAAAGTAAAGGGTGCCATCACCGCTGTCCTAAAAATGCGACGGACGGGATAAGGACTGACACGGGTAGGTTCTTGTGGCATTAACTACTGTGATCATATAAAGGAGCGTAAATTTGTGGTGGGAAAGAGATTCTGTCGCCCAGTACTGTCATTCACCCCTGTGGATACGCGTCTAGCCATAATGCGCATCGAAGCGAAGTTTTTCAACATATCGACGATTTGCGCCCACGCCCCAACTGAAGAGAAGGACGATGTGACAAAAGATTTTTCTATGAGCGCACCTATGGGAGCTGCCCCCGCCACGATTTTAAAATCGTGCTTGGTGACTTTAATGCCAGGGTGGGCAATGAAGGTATCTTTGACACTCGACCTACATGGTGCTCAAACGGCTTTCTGTAGTACTAGATCCTAACATAGGAAAATTCATCAAGCTATCTGGCTGTCTCCAGATCGAAAAGCCACCAACTAAATCGATAATGTTGTAATAAACGGTAGACACGTCTCTAGTGTTTTAGACTCGCGAGTTACAAATGTATGTAAATACTTACAATCCTAATCCAACACACAAACTTACCGACACGGTTAAAAATGTAAAAAATTGCTGATCGTATTACTAAGAAGTTTTCAAATACCGCTGAAGCATATTAACACAATGCATGTGTAATTGGAGAATATTACTTGAAATTATTGTATACAAACTGGCTAAAACAAAATTACTTTACGCACTAATTCTTGGTATTGATAAATATTGTGAAATTCGATAATACTAAATTAATGTAAAGTACTTACCAAGCATTTTTGCAAATTGTGAACTTTCTTTTAAAGAAATAAAGCTGAATAAAATCAGTCTGTTTCCACATTCTACAGCGATAGTTCGCTGCTAATCAAATTTGTGTTTTTTATTTTAAAAAACCGTTTTGTGGCGACGCGAAATAAAACTGGCGCAGTCGGTATTATCCTAAGTAAAGGCTCCAGTGAAAATAAATCGGAMAAATAAATAAAATTAAAAAAAAAATAATATTACTCCCAAAATAATTCTGCGATTCCGTCTAAGGATAAAACTTTGACCTCCAGGATATGAAGTACAAACAAAAAATAATAAATTAATTTCAAATTGTGCAGGGATCCTTTTTACTGAATAATAAACTCCATAAAAAAATATTTTTTGTACAGAGTTATTATATAAAAATTACACAATAAAACGRTATAAAGTGGCAGGCAGTGATTTGAATTTCAACACTCACAATAAACAGCAAAAGTGACAGTACAGTGAAMAAATTAAAATTTCTACACCCCACAAGCAGCATAATTCGGTCATCAAGACACAATTCGTTTTACCAGAGAAGGATGGAACAAGCTCAAACATGGCATGACTTCGTGAAGCAGGTAAGAGAAGGGAACAGAAATTAGAGCAGGGAGCCTATTCTCGATTCGAAAAAAACTTACTTGAATTCGGATTTTTTATATTCTGTAACTCGATTTTCGGATTTTCAAGCCAATTTTCGAATAAAATAATCGTTAGCTTTTGAGTTGTAGAACGCAAAAATGAAAATTGGACTTATGTGTATATTCTGGCACAGGGTGGTAGAACTTTCGCATAATTATAAAGTAGATCCGAATTTCGAATAAAATAAATTTGCGAATGGAGATAAAGAATAGGGCCCCAGCTTACACCAGCATACCTAGGACTACAAGGAAAAATTATAGACGCCAAAAACAGGAGGCGGGACCAAATATTAAAAAATAAGACACATGCCAATATTTACCGAAACAGCGCTCACAGTGAACTCGGTTTTCAAAGGAGTCGAGTATCTGCTGTCGATGATACCAGAGRAAAAAATGAAAGCACTGCGAACGATTTGCTGCAGTAACATACAAGGAGAAGCAAAAAGCATTGTTATCAACACACCGATAATTAAAGATAAATAAAAATAACATTAAAATTGAGGTACAGGAAAGACACCGAGCCAAACCAAATGTTATACGGATATAAGGAGGAAAGCAAATCTTCGTGCAAACAATGTAAGTGAACTAGCTATTGTATATTATGAGGGTAATAGCTGTACTAACTTAAATAATACGGACTATTTGCYAGTGAACACTATTAGAGAGATGACACAAGGAACATTACTTGACAAAATTTATTACGAAAAAATTAATGATTTTAAAAAGATTGCGATAGAACCAATTTGTTTTAAAACCATTACGGGTGAAGACACTATTAATTTTGAAGTGTATACTCATGCTCCAAGGAAGTTACGATATCGAATGAACAAATAAAATCAAAACTTTATAGATATCCATTTCAACATGAGGAAGAGGTAAGAAGCAAATTAGAGAAATGGAAGAAAAAGGAATCATCGAAAAGTTCATCTTTAATAGTTGTCCAGAAAAAAATGGCTAACTCAGGTATAAAAAAATTGGCTTGTTGTAGATTAAAGAAATTTAAATGATGTAACAATAGATGACAAATATCCAATATTGATTCAATATTAGATAAACTAGGCCGTGCCCAATATTTTACAACTATAGAGTTAACAAAAGGATATCACCAAATTTGTTGAAAAAGGAAGATAGAGAAAAAACAGCATTTGTAATGCCACATGGTTCATATGAATTTATTAGAATGCCATTCGGGTTAAAGAAAGCAAGAGATTATATCAATAAAACATGTGTTGCCTATATAGACGATATTTTGATTTTTACCACATCCTTGAGTGAACATATTATAGCCATAACAGATATTTTCAAAGTCCTTGAAAGTCAAAATTTAAAAATTCAAATAGATCAAGGTAATTTTATGAAAAAGGAAACTGAATTTTTAGGGCATATTTTAACAAAAGAGGAATGAAATCGAATAAAAACAAAATTAAGGTAATAAACAATCTTGAGTCACCACGAACAGAGAAACGAATCGAAAGGGTACTATAGAAAATTTATTAAATATTTTATATTGAGGAAGAAATAGTGAATAAGTACAAATTCAAATAATATTAACAAATAACAAAATTGAATTGAGACGGTACATGAAAAAATAATTATTTTTATTATAGGAAATGATTTTGATATAATGGCATAAATCTTTAGAAGATATATTCAAGAAGGGAAAGTAAGCATATCTTCTTAAATATCAGAACACAATTAGAATATAGTGCAAACAAATGAATAGAAATGTATTCAAATGATAATCAAATCAAATTCACTAATGCAAAATTATAATGTTAACRAAGATAACCAGAAACAGAGAAGATTATGAAGAAAAAAGGCAGAATGATTTATGAAGAATTATAAAGCTGTGCGGCATAAGAAGGAACGAAAATATGGAAATTAATTATTAAAGCATATTCATAAACAATAAACAGTTAAAATTTACATATAACAGTAATACTAATACTAATAATAATAAGGTGGACACATATGATTAAAGGGACAATAGTAATGACTCAACTGAAGGAACAAGGAGGTTAAACGAACTTACAGATATAAATTCAATAAAAATTAATCAGTAGACTCTAAAAATAAATTATTGATATTATTACCCAAGGAAAATAGAAAAAGACCAGGTTTAATAAATGGTTACTTGGAAATATGGACGACGATGACAGTAAGGAAATAYAGTGACGTTTGGTGAATACCGACAGTTGCAGATTAATGACTTTTTTAATAATGCAATAAGAAATGCTATTCAAAATGATAGAAAAGAAATCGGAAAGGAAATAAATACAATAAGTTATTTTGAAAATTAGTAATTTCAACAAAATATTTATTTAGAACATCTAAGTAAAATACAGTTAGAGGTAAAATTGAACATATTCAAGAAAATGTTATATCATCTAAATATGGCAGTATACACTCAAATATTTTAACTAACAATGAAATAATAAAATATGAAATCGATTTTAATAAACCAAGGACCTTCTATTAGGGACCACCATTATTAAATACTAACTTAATTTTTGCTATAAAAATTCCAAGAATATTTTCTACCAATCAGCTGAGAGAAATTGTACCACTACTTAACATCATATTTAACGAAACTGATTATGAAGTTGAAGAAGTATTTAAGTAATAAACATTTAAGACAATTAAAGTTAAATTCACATTGCATTATAAAAGAAAATTGTAAAGTTAAAGAAAATAAGAATTTTGAAACTATTGTAATAGATATAGACCCAATAGTTGTTAAAAATGCAATAAATATAACATTCCAACAAAATTGTACTATTAAAATTAAAGAATATTATTTTTACAATGTAATTAAAAAATCAAAAGAAAAGATGATCTATGACAACAAAAGAATTTAACTAAAAAATTGTCAATTGAACAAAATCAAAATAACGTACAAAATATAAGAAAACTAGAAATTTACAACAAAATAATTATTTAATTATTGTGAGCACATGTATCATTGTAATAATCACGATTGTAATTGTCAGTTTGCACAATCGCATAGATATAATATTAAATAACAGAATTCTGAAGTATTCCAATTTAAAGGGGGGAGTAGTTCATTACATATGTAAATACTTACAACCCTAATCCAACACACGAACTTACCGATAATGTCAAGCATATAGCCACTTGTAAAAATGCTGATACCAATCCATAGCTACAATAAATAAAACAAACATTGCACTAAAATGTAAGAAAGTGCTGATTGTATTACTAAGAAGTTTTCAAACACCGCTTAAACATATTAACACAATGCGTATGTATGTAATTGAAAAAAAAAAACTTTACCAATTCTTGATATTGGGAAATTCGATAATACTAAAATAATGTGAAGTACTTCCCAAGCTTTTTTTTATAAATTGTGAACTTTCTTGTAAAGAAATAGAACTCAATAAAATCAATCTGCTTTCCACATTCTGCAGCGATAGTTCGCTGCTAATCAAATATGTGTCTTTTATTAAAAAACCCATTTTGTCGTGACGCAAAATAAAACTTGCGTACATACGTTCCAAGGTCCTAACATCGTTTTGAACCATTATCTTGTTGTAGCGAAGATACACACCCGTCTCTGTGCAGCAAAAAAGGCACATCAACAAACACAAGGCAGGTTCGACGTCGAGAAGCTGCAATCAGAACAGACAGTTGATCAATTTTCTACTCGACTTGCACTCATCAACACCTCCTTACGTACAACTGCAAACGAATCTATTGATTTTCGGAAAATGCAAAAGAACAGCTGGTACGATTAGGAGTGCCATGTTGTAGTGGAGAGAAAACAGAATGCGTACCTCGCAATGTTACAATCGATCACAACACCTGCGGGATGGGATAGATRYCGAGAACGAGACGCATTTGCAGACTAAAAAAAGAGAGACCAAACAGCTTTGACAAGCTGTCCGACAGCGGCAATGCTCGAAAATTTTTCGAAAAGATGCGGCGACTAACAGAAGGTTTCTTGTAGAACCCCCAGAGTGAGTGACGCGCAGAGCGTAATGAAATTATGGAGAACCAATTCTCCTTCCTGCTGAATGGCAGTGAAAAATAACACCAGGAGATGGTGAACTCGATTCCCCAATAGATGACGATAAAGCCGACGTTCCATTGCTCGACTAAGAAGAAGTTCGAATAGCAATTACCCGTCGGAAGAACAACGAAAAACTGATAAAGAGCATGCATTAGCTACTTTGTAAACTATAGTCGCACGAAAACATGCCCCACGATTGGAATTTAAGTGTGCTCTGCCCAATCCACAAAAAGGGAGACCCCATAATCTRCGCCAACTACCGTGAGATAATCCTCCCAAACATCGCATATACGGTTCTATCGAAAGAATTAATTCCTCCGTCAACAAACTGATTGGGATTCATCAGTGTGRCTTTAGGCCTGGCAAATAAACAACTGACCAGATATTCAATATGTCTTTTCGCCGATTTCAAAGCTTATTGCCGCACGAAAAGAAGCTACCTTTATTTCACGATGTCTGAATTTAGTATCCCTTCAAAACTAATACGGTTCTATAAACTGACCTTGAACAATACCAAAAGCCCCGTCAGGATAGGAATAACAAACGAGGTTTCAGAAGATTCAGCGAAGTTTTCTTATGGTGCGACTTCGTCAATCTACTCCTAGAGAGAATAATTTGAGCTGYAGATATAATAGAGAAGGTACAACTGTTGGCTTACGCCGATGACATCTATATCGTCGGTCATATCAATGGACAAAGAAGCAAAGCAAATGGGTCTGGTACTGAAGGAGGGCAAGACTGTCATCAAGCATGTCTGTACAATATATACAACACAATACCCGCCGTGTGAAACAGAGGAAGACCTCTATGCCGTTATAAAGATCAGGTAGAGAAGGATTTGGCTTTACTTGGAATCTCCAAATGGCGCCAAACATCAAAAAGGAAGAACAACTAGTGCGACTCGGCTATAACCTGTCTCTTATACACATCTAGATGTGTATAAGAGACAGCTATTACACTTGATTTCGCACTCATTCCGATTTGGCGGTTCTAATCATACTGCATACGAATAAGTGGTTGAATGGTGATTGAACATGTAAGGGCCGTGTGAAACAGAGGAAGACCTCTATGCCGTTATAAAGATCAGGTAGAGAAGGATTTGGCTTTACTTGGAATCTCCAAATGGCGCCAAACATCAAAAAGGAAGAACAACTAGCGCGACTCGGCTATAACCGCGTAAGCGATTACTATGCCAAAGAAGAATTGCAAAAGAGTAGAACTTACTTGTTGAATAGGTTAAGTTTTCCAAAAACGTGAAAGTACTTTATCTTACTTTGATCCTTGCAAAAGTATAAAATGTTCGATTGCTTAGCTCTCCTTACATGTTATTAATTCAAATTGTATCAGTGTTCATCAAATTTAGGTAAATACTTTACCACACATACAAATTCAAACATATGAATCTAGACAGATAAGGGCATATACGGTATTGTAATACTGTGTGGCTTGCTACTTTGCATATTAACTTGRGTAATCGATATTATGTTACTTTTCAATAACTTTTTCTCCGAAGTACATATTGCGTATTTGTAAATATGTAAGTACCGGTAACTTTACTGATATATATTTTTGTAAATTTCAAACCACAAGAAAACCACCTTTATGACATACACCAAGGAAGACACATCGTCATATATACACCGGTACATAAGATTTTTCTTTTATGGTTTCAAAACAGCAATTCCACAATTTTAACATAATTGTTTTTAACCGACGTCCGATTTGAAGACTTTATGTGTAATATTAACACAATAATTTTGAACAATGCTTTTTAAACAGAATAAATGCTGCTAAGTATTCCACTTGATTTCGCACTCATTCCGATTTGGCGGTTCTAATCATACTGCATACGAATAAGTGGTTGAATGGTGATTGAACATGTAAGGGCTTCATTTGTTATACTCTCGCAAGATGTTGAGCAAGGTGTAATAGTTTTATTTACCTAACAATTACAAACCCCATACTAATCGAAAAAAATATAAGGCTCGGATGTTTTGAATTGATGAATGATTTCCGGATGAATATCTGATAACTTGAGTAGAATATAACAAATTCTGATAAAACTTAGAGCGCGTGTTCTTCGGCACTTGTATTGCATGCAGATATTTCCTTAATTAAAAAATTTAAAAAGCCATAATTCAGTTACAATTTACATAACTTCAATTTTATGCCAGGGGACATAATGTAATTTTCAGTTTCAAAACTTTAAAAAAGTAAACGTGATCACATAAATTACTAAAACTCGGTGAATAAGCCTTGTTTGGCTATAATTTTGGAATTCGGCTTTAAGCTTTCTTTAGCTCTATAATTCAAGTAATAAAAAACATCATTTATTTAAGATAGGAATATTAAACTTGACATTATGAGATGTAAAATAATAAAACTTGATCTCCGTGTTATTAAGGTCAATGGCATTCGGTCCAAAAGTTCTCCCTATTGTGCAATATATTTCAAAATTATGGGTTTTTCTGGTTTTAACCGAATCAAACTGCAGGAGCACTTAATGTTCGACCGGGCCGAACTTACCATTTTCTTACTTTTATGTACACTGTGTGCACACATGTATAATTGCATAGAAACATGTGTATATACGAGTACTTATATTACAAGCATGCAACTGTTGACTACAGTTAAAGTAAAATAAGTTTGTTGTCACGGCAAAAAGCTACATTGGAACCAATAATTTTACAACAAAAGTTTTACTGATTTCTCAATAAGTATATTTTTCCATGTTTGAAACATGAAACGACTAGAAGCTTTCTAATATTATGAACTTTTAGATATTGTTTTGGATTGGCGAATATGATGGCTGTACAAATCAATCAATTGATTCACATCACAGCGGACCGGTTAAAGTACATTCCATCAAAACTGCACCGTTTCATCAATTCCGAAATGTTGTGCTGAATTGCTTTGCAGCATTATACAAGTATACATATTACTGTGATCAATGAAATTGTGAATTTAGTCCATTTCATCTTCACCTTCATAGTAATCCCCTCTCGTTGATGGCCATCAGAGCGTTCTTCGATTCAACTTTTATATCCTGTGGTGGTGGTCATGTTAATTCCCTGAATAGCCAGAAGTTACACGAGGGTAAATCAGGCAAATGCGGTCTTTGCAGCACGATATTAGTTGACAATGTGAGAAATTAATAACCAATGTAGTATAAGATGGGAAATTATCGCATTTCTTTGTTCCATAAATTCAGACATAGTAAAAATTGAAGAATTCACTTTTAGAGCCTCACAAAACGACACGTATCTCAAATACTAATGAATATTTTGACGTGAAAATTATCATAGATGTCACTAATAGTACTACCAACTTACAGAAAGAAAGTTTACCGATTCGAAAAACACGCAAAGTATAAATTAAAAACTCACCTTTCAATTTGATCACATTAGTATGTACATATGTACATTATACATATATCGCTTCTATCAAAAATGAATTGTATGAAATTGGTAGATCGTTCGAAATAGTTGAAGATAAACCAGCTGTATGTGCACGAATGATCTATAAACAGTACTACTAAGTTCCCTTATTATTTATAGGCGGGAATTTGTCTTTTTTATATAGACAAAAAGTCATTTAACCAAAGAATTTGAATAAAATGAGAAAGCGCAATTTTAAAATTTACTATRTTTTAAAATTCCAATTGGGAAAATCTCCGCATATTATAAAAGCAACAACTAAATTTTCAACACTCTTTAAGTTAGCCAAGTTAATTTTATATCCTGGCGACAGGAAATGCATACACAGACGTCCTTCGGCATGCGCATTGAGCAAATTTTGAAGAACAAAAATAAAATAGAAAACATTGATTTAAAAAAACGAAAAAGAGTATAAGACAGGAGTATAAATATAAGTACAATGAACAGAGTTACGTACACGCAGTTTCAATGTAAGATGACGAATATAATATACATAAGAACAGTATAAAAGGAATAACATGAATAGTGATGCCAGATTTACAATATTTCCTAACACTTCTCTTTAATGGAACATCTGACAATACTAATAATATGTTAGTTAAATCCAAAATAATGTTAAATGATACATGACTTTACTTTAAGCCTAATTTAACATTACTTCATTCTTATCTGCAGGTATAGCCTTTGTTAAACCATTTGCTAACATTTCGCTTGTTGAAATATATTAATGCTGTAATGACTTATCTCGTAACTTCTCCCGTATAAACTTCACCTTGATGTCCACGTGTTTAGATCGAGGAGAAAAGTTATTGTTCCGAACAATGTGAATAGCGCTCTTGTTATCGAAATACATTTTTATTCCTTCTGTACCACCATGAACTAGTTCCGACATTAGCCGATATCACCAAATCGCTTCTTACATTGCGCGGGATTTTGTGAGAAACGACTCAGCAAATTGACTGTGAAGCTGATATCAGACCGGGTAATTTGTGCTGCAGGCTACGCACTGCCCTTATATATGGAACCTTTTCCATCTCTTTCTTTTCTTCTTCAGTGTTTGGACACATTTCTAATGTTAGCTTTTGCGACAAATCTAGTGGCGTTCATTCTAAACCATTTTGGTACACTGTAAATATATTCAGACTGATCAAGTTTAATTAACTTTTTTACCTCATCACGCTGAACTGGAATGCCAAGTACGGATGGCGCTGAACCAATGTCCTTCATTTTGAATTTCCAAGACAACTCATTCTTAACCCGTTGCATAGCCTTATTGTCATTAGAGAAGACCAGAATGTCATCCATATAAATTGCTACTTATACCATGCTGTACTCACTCACGCAAAAGTAAATACATTGATCGACTTCGCTCCGAATTAGTCCCAGACTAATTAGTGCCTCATTTAATTTATCGTTCCAAATTTTGCTTGCTTGTTTTAAATCGATTTAGTAGACAACAAACTCTACCAGAAGTCTTGTTCTTGTTTCAAAAACACTTCTTCTTGAA